GAATGTGAGCCATTCTAACTGGGGTGAGGTGAAACATCATTGTGGTTTTGATTTGCATTTCCCTGATTGCTAGTGATCTTGAACATTTTTTCATGTGTCTGTTGGCCATTTGGATTTCCTGTTTGGAAAAATGTCTATTGAGGTCCTTAGCCCATCTCTTAAGTGGGTTGTTTGTTTTGATGTTGTGGAGTTTCTTGATTTCTTTGTAGATTCTGGTTATCAAGCCTTTCTCAGTTGCACAGTTTGCAAGTATTTTTTCCCATTCTGTCAGTTGTCTCTTTGCTCTCCTGATTGTTTCTTTTGCAGTACAGAAACTTCTCAATTTAATGCAATCCCAATAGTTAATTTTGGCTTGGAATGCCTGTGGCTCGAGGGTCTTTTCTAGGAAGTCTTTGCCAGTACCTTAATCTTGCAGGGTTTCTCCAATGCTCTCTAATAATTTGATGGTGTCAGGTTGTAGATGTAAGTCTTTAATCCATGTCGAGTGGATTTTTGTGTAAGGTGAAAGGTAAGGGTCTTGCTTCATGATTCTGCACGTTGAAATCCAATTTTCCCAGCACCATTTATTGAATAGACTGTCCTTACTCCAGGGTTTGGTTTTAGATCCTTGATCATATAGAAGTTGGCTGTAGATGTTTGGATTGATTTCTGGTGTTTCAATTCTGTTCCATTGGTCTATCCATCTGTTTCTGTACCAGTATCATGCTGTTTTGATAAGAACTGCCCTATAGCATGCCCAAAAACCGGTATTGTGATGCCTCCGGCTTTGTTTTTGTTGTACAAGATGGCTTTAGCTATTTGAGGTCTCCTGTGTCTCCATATGAATTTCAGCATCATTTTTCCAGATCTGAGAAGAATGTCTTTGGTATTTTGATTGGTATTGCATTGAATCTATAAATTGCTTTTTAGAATGGACATTTTGATGATATTGATTCTTCCAATCCATGAGCATGGAAGATTTTTCCATTTCTTGGTATCGCTTCTATTTCTTTCTTTAAGGTTTTGTAATTTTCATCGCAGATCCTTAATGTCCTTGGTTCAGTTTATTCCAAGGTATTTGATTGTTTTTGTAGCTATTGTAAATGGGATTGATCTTAGAAGTTCTTTGTAAGCCATGGCATTGCCTGTGTATACAAAGGCTGTTGATTTTTGTGCATTGATTTTATACCCTGCTACTTTGCCTAACTCTTCTATGAGTTCCAGTAGTCTCTTAGTAGAGTTCTTTGGGTCCCCTAAATAAAGAATCATATCATCTACAAAGAGGGATAGTTTGAGTTCTTCCTTCCCAATTCGTATCCCTTAAATTTCTTTTTCTTGCCTAATAGATCTGGCTAGAAATTCCAGAACTATATTGAATAGCAGTGGTGAGAGTGGGCATCCCTGTCTGGTACCAGATCTCAGTGGAAATGCTTCCAGCTTTTCCACATTCAATAGGATGTTGGCTGTGGGTTTTTCACAGATTGCTTTGATTGTATTGAGGAATGTTCCTTCCATACCCAGTTTGCGTAGAGTTTTCATCATGAATGGTTGATGTATTTTATTAAATACTTTCTCTGCATCTACTGAGATAATCATATGGTTTTTCTTCTGCAGTCTGTTAATGTGGTGTATCACGGTGATTGTTTTGCACACATTGAACCATCCCTGCATGCCAGGAATAAATCCCACTTGGTCTGGGTGGATGATCTTTCTGATGTGTTGTTGCATTCTATTGTCCAAAATTTTACTGAGGATTTTTGCATCTATGTTTATCAGGGATATTGGTCTGTAATTCTCTTTCAATGCTGCATCTTTTTCTGGCTTAGGAATTAAGGTGATGCTGGCTTCATAGAAAGAATTTGGGAGGATTCTCTCTTCTTCAATTGTTCTGAATAGTTTGAGAAGAAATGGGATTAGTTCTTCTTTAAATGTCTGGTAGAATTCAGCAGTGAATCCATCTGGTCCGGGGCTTTTCTTTGTTGGGAGGGCCTTTATTACTGTTTCAATTTTTGTCTCAGTTATGTGTCTGTTTAGGTTTTTGATGTCTTCCTGGTTCAATTTAGGTAGATTGCATGTGTCCAGGAATCTATCCTTTCTAATAGATTTCCCTGTTTGCTGGCATACAAGTCCTTGTAGTAATTTCTGATGATTCTTTTTATTTCTGTGGTGTCTGTTGTTACGTTTCCTTTTTCATCTCTGCTTTTATTGATTTGGGTCTTTTCTCTTCTTTTTTTAGTTAGTTGGGCCAATGGGGTGTCCATTTTGTTTATTTTTTCAAAAAACCAGCTCATCGTTTGGCTGATTTTTTGTAATTTTTTTTTTTTTTGGATTCAATCCTGTTGATTTCTTCTCTGATTTTAATTATTTCTTTTCTCCTACTAGATTTGGGTCTGGTTTGCTGTAGGTTTTCTAGATCCTTGAGATGAGCTGAAAGCTAATCTATTTGGTGCCTTTCCAATTTCTTAATGTAGGCACCTATTGATATAAACTTTCCTCTTAACACTGCTTTTGCTGCGTCCCATAAGTTTTGGTATGTTGTGCTGTTATCCTCATTTACTTCCAGAAAATTTTTGATTTCTCTTTTAATTTCTTCTATGACCCATTGTTCATTCAGGAGCATGTTGTTCAATCTCCATGTGTTTGCATATGCTCTAGGGATTCCTGAGTTGCTAATTTCCAACTTCATTCCTTTATGGTCTGAGAAGTTACATGATTATAACTCTTTTAAATTTGCTGAGACTTGCTTTATGGCCTAGTATGCGGTCAGTCCTAGAGAAGGTTCCATGTACTGCTGAGAAGAATGTAAATGCTTTCTGTGTAGGAGGTAAAGTTCTGTAGATGTCTGTTAGATCCATTTGGGCTACAGTGTCGTTTAAATCTACTGTCTCCTTGTTGATCTTCAGTTCTGTTGATCTGTCTATTTCTGAGAGTGGATCATTGAAGTCCCCCAGTACTACTGTATTGGGGTCTAAGTCTCCCTTTAAGTCCATTAACAAATCTTTTAATAAGGCGGTGCCCTGTAATTAGGTGCATATACATTGATAATCATCATATCTTCCTGTTGAATTGATCCCTTAATCATTATGTAGTGCCCCTCTTTGTCTCTCTTAACAGTTTTTGTGGTAAAGTTTATGTTGTCTGATATTAAGATGACTACGCCCGCTCTTTTTTCATTTCTGTTGGCATGGTATATCTTTTTCCAGTCTTTCAGTTTCAGTCTGCATGCACCTTTGTTGGAAAGATGTGCTTCTTGTAAGCAGAAAATAGATGGGTTTTGTTCCTTAACCCAATCAGTCAATCTGTGTCTTTTAACTGGACAGTTCAGGCCATTATCGTTCAATGTGACTATTGATAAGTGGTAACTTTGCCCTGCCATTTGCCAAAGATATTTTCTAATATATGCTTGAATTCCCTGTGATCTTTTGCTGTGAGGTTTCCTTCGTTTACCTTCTTTCATATTGATGACCGTGTTTCTGTGTTTCTGTGTGCAACTCATCTTTAAGAATCTTTTGCAGGGCTGGACGAGTGGCAACAAATTCTTTCAATTTTTGTTTGCTATGAAAAGTCTTTATTTCACCTTCATTCACAAATGATAGCTTTGCAGGATATAATATTCTGGGCTGGCAGTTGTTCTCTCTTAGTACCTGGGCTATGTCTCACCATTCCCTCCTAGCTTGTAGGGTTTCTGATGAGAAGTCAGCTGTGAGTCCGATTGGAGATCCTCTGAGAGTAATCTGACGTTTCTCTCTTGCACATTTTAGGATCTTTTCTTTATGTTTCACTGTGGAGAGTTTAATTACAACGTGTCGTGGTGAGGATCTCTTTTGGTCGTGTTTATTAGGGGTTCTGTGAGCTTCCTGTACTAGGATTTCTCTGTCCTTCTCCAAACCTGGGAAATTTTCTGCTAATATCTCACTAAAAAGGCCTTCTAATCCTTTCTCCCTCTCCATGCCTTCAGGAACTCCTAGAACCCGAATGTTGGTTTTTTTAATAGCATCCTGCAGATTCCCGACAATATGTTTTAGATTTCTAATTTCCTCTTCTTTTCTTTGGTCTGACTGTATCCTTTCCTGTTCTCTGTCTTCTAAGTCTGATATTCTCTCTTCTGCTTCACCCATTTGTTTGTAAGGCTCTCTAATGTGTTCTTCATTTGATCTATTGAATTCTTCTCTTCATTATGATTTCTCGTCACTATCACAGTTTCCTGTTCTACTGGTTGTTTCATTAAATTTTGATTCCTCCTTAATATTTCATTTTCATGAGAGAGATTTTCTATCTTGTCCATTAAGGATTTCTGTAGTTCAAGAATTTGTTTTTGAGAACTTCTTAATGTTCTTATCAATTTTTTGAGATCTGCTTCTTGCATTTCTTCTATCTCATCATCTTCATAATCTTGAATTGGGGTGTCTTTTTCATTTGGGGGCGTCATAGTGACTTCCTTGTTTTTATTTCCTCGTTTTTTGCGTTTGTTATTTGGCATATTGGAGATATTTGGTTTCTTCACTGTGGTGCTTTTTCTTGTTATACTATGACTCTAGATTAAGTGGACTGTCTGTTTTTGATGGAGCCTTAGGGCTTGAGATGGGTGTGGCCTGAGAGCTCTGTTTGGTGTGCCAAAGGTGACACTCCCAGGTTAGGCGTGGTAGATCTCTCTCTTTCTTTTTTTGATTCAAAAGGGAAGTAATTCTGCACAGCTGAACGAAGTTGGAGGTAGTTAGCAGGCAAATGATATACCCACAGGAGCCAGAGATTGGAAGCTCTTTCCCAAGGACCACACAGGGAATCTGTTCTGCCCTCAGAGTGGGCTCAAATTCTCCTTCAGTCTCCCACTGGGTTGCCAAAGTTACGGAATTGTAGTGTCTCTGGAGAGTACTCACGTGAATTCCGTGAGTTCTCTCCCCCACCATCTCTTTTTTCACAGTCTCAGTTCAGTAGCACCACAAATTCACTAGGTCCTAATCTCCTGTCAATTCACCCCACCCAGAGTTAGGTTTTTCTGCTAGGCTCAGGGCCGGTGCAGACCTGAGGTTGCTCTGCCTCTGACATATGTCCAAGATGGCGCCTGCTCTTTGTCTTGCTCACCTTTGAGAGGTGAGCGGAGAGAGAGAAACCCGTGTCCATATTAGTCACTTTTTTTTTTCTTTCTCTCTCTTCTAGTTAGCCTGGTGAACTTTTCCCCCCAGGGTCGTTCCCTCTAGTCTCCTCTTTCCGCTTGCCTGCTGGTGTCTCAGGCTATTGAGGTTCGGCTCACCTCGTGTTCCAGTGCTGGTGTGTTGAGTCTGCCGCTGGTGTCCCGAACTATGGGCTCCCATGCTCTCCACGCAGGTCCACTGTGAATCCCGCGTTCCGGAAGAGTTTTCTCTGCTGTTTCTTCCCCTACTCTTCCTTGAACCTGCAGTATCTCCACTTTTATTAAACTGTCTCTCCCCGGACTATCAGTGTGCTCCCTTCCTATTCCACCACCTTGCCACTCCAATTTCATCATAACTACTTTTAAATATTTTTGTGAAAATACAAATTATTTCTGAGTTTTTACATTTCAAATTGTCTAAGAGTTGAATTGCAAATAGTTTTCAGAGAGGATTGAATATTTTAATGCTACTTTCATTTCACAAAGAATGAGCAAAGAAATAAATATGAGATTAAAAAATAAGAAAGGTTTGACAGAGATCCTATCAATCACCTTCCCCCAAAGTTCAGTTCATGTTTGTTTGAACAACAAAAATATCAGTGATGAAGGGTAGTATCTAGCTGTGGAGGCATTTCATGTTTGTTTCTTTTCTTTTTCTTCTATTCATAAAGAAAACAAGTCCAGATGAAAATTAAAATTCAAAACTTTACTTTTATTGCAAATCCATGACAGCTGAATCAAAGAAATCTGTTGGTTTATAAAGCCAATTCACAGGGAAGGATTTTAATATCAAGTTGCCCTGAGGCAAAGGCATCCTTCAATGGGATTCACTCCAAGAAAAGAATCATGGACAATTAGAAATAATCACTTCCTCCATGCCTAGAAGTAAATCTGTGATTACTATAGACTATAGAGGAAATTGTGCATATCTTTACTGCATGTCTTTAAATCTTGCTCTGAGATTTTATGTTGACTTCTAAACTATTCAATACTATTTTGCTAAGCTCACTATCCTAAAGACTTCTGTGTGTATTTGAAACAGTAAATCAAGTGAAAGAGTGCAATTTGTGCCCTATAGTGAACTATGCAAATGAAGTCCAGTGATCCAGATTATGTGAGCATTGACAGGTAAACAGACTCTGTGCTAAATCTGCAATTTGATCAGAAACCAAACATGACTCATTTATTCAAAGAACAATTATTTATGTTGCAACATTAGCAATTCAAAACATTGTCTCCTTCTTTGAATGTCAATACTGTCTATTCTGAAGGTGAAGTTACTGGTAAGTATCTGAAGCCTAAAATTTTAGGCAAACTTATATATTTAATAGTGATAATATTATCTTTTAATAATAAAATTTAATCTTAAAATTATTTTTAATTATAGAGAAGTTTCAAAAATAGTGCAAAGTTCCCATGTCCCCTTCAGCCAGCTTCCCTTAACGTTAATCTATTACATCACCAAAAATAATTCATTTGTCAAAACTAAGAAATTAGTATTAGCAGAATATCTAACTAAATCATAAAATTCATCAGTTTTCTTCTTTTTCTGCTCCAGGATTTAATCCAGAGTACTGCGTTGGCATTTAGTCATTATGTCTGGTCTGCAACAGTTACCCAACACTCCAGATTTTCAGGCCCTTGTTACACTTTTGTTCAACTTATATCATAATGTGCTCATCAGTTTCAATTTGTGTGATATTTCTTATGATGACATGAGGTAGAGATGAGGTGCCCTCCTCATATATTATAGAAAAGTAAATAATAGTCAACATTACTTATACTGGTAATATGATCTGTGGTCATTGATTCAGGTGATTTCTGCTGAAGTTTTTTTTTTTTTTATCACATTTGATTTGTTGTAAGTTAGTTACTAAGTGCAGCTTGTGCTTATGAGGAATTGAATTCAGCTCCATCTCATGGAGGGGGTGGTTAAAATTTATATTTGCATAAAAAATGATAGACCATACACAGAAAATTTTTTTGAAAAGTTTATTGTCTTACCCAGAAAGCATAGTGTTTGACTTATGCCTACAATATAAGGAGAGACTGCCAACTCAAATCCCTTTCCTAAAAATATAGTTTTATTGTTTATGTTCCAAGCAAAGATCAATTGGGCTTCACACTATATACTCTGAACACTGATAATACCAACTAACTAACTTAATCAAGCCTGTAAGCAATTAAATATAATTAAATGTTATTGTGTGGTGGTTGTACCAATAATCACATATAGATTGGTAATTATATGATTATCTTCTTATTATTTATAATCACTTTGAAATGAGAAATATAAATTAAGATATATTTTCTCCCTTGAAAAAAATTTATAATTGAGTGGCAAACCTTTCAAAAAGTTGCTTTATAATTAAACAAGAAGATTTGTGTCAATAAAGAACAAAAAACGGGCTCATGGGAACAGGCCAAGCACATGCCAGGAAACTCAAGAGCGTGGATGATTTTGAGGCACGTGAGCCAAAGACCATACTGAGACACATGGGTCAGGGAAGATCAAAGTTGGTTTTCAAATGTCATGCTCTACTGAGCCCACTGATGTGTTGTGTTTAGCCATTAGAGTTCAAAACCCACTGTACTTATAAATAATGTTTCAACAACTGAAAATCTTCCCATAAAAATCTGAGTTCCTGACATATCTTGGAAAACTAAAATATCTGGCGATGCTAAGCTGTCAGCCCACATAGTGAGGGTCAGTGAATGCTGAGTGGTTAGTGCCCCTTTTTGTCATTTCCAGCATGCTCCAGCTCCCAAAGCTCCTCTACAGGAACTGCGACTCAGGCTAATTGCCTGTCTGTTTACTCATGGGCTGCTTGCTTACTGATTTTCCCAAATGGCTTCCGTAGGTGTTTGAGTTTCTGATCTTCATCTGGCATTCTTGTATGAACATCATGAAGGTAAGAAAGTTTGGGGTGAGCTTGTGAATTACTCTTATTCATTCCCCTCATGGACATGATATCAGTGCTAAATCTGAGGAAAGAAGATACCACTTAGGTATATCAGATACTTGGCAGTCTGTAATTTGAGTTATGTATACTTGTAGAAGTCCACCCAGGAAAAGGTATTTTCCCATCCCATAGACATATGTTATCAGTTTACTCATTCTCTCCACTTTTATTTTCACTTAGAACATTGTTTCTAAACCTTAAATCTACATTAAGGTCACTCAGAGAGGTTTATTAAAAGTACCGATTCTGGAGTCCATTAACAAATTAATTAAGCCTAAATATTTGCAGTAGAGTCTAAACAGCGAGAGTCTTTAAAAAGCCTCAGTTTGATGGAATATGCACCTGGTGTGGAAACCCACTGATTTAGATGCCTTTGCATTTCAGAAAATGAAGAAACAATCTTCTAGAAAAATTTTTGATTGATAGATCCACCACATCTCCAAACAAAGCAGCTTTCCCCACTCCTGGTCTGAAAGAAAAAACTAAGAAGTCAGCATTGATACGTATGTACTTTCACATCTGACATTTTGTCCATTGTCATTTCTGCACAATAATTCCAAGATCTTTCCCATTTTCCCCCCATTTCTCAGGTCATCCTGTCCACCTGCAATTCGCTCTGCAAACTCCTCATGACCTCTACACCCCATTCTATTCCTGGATGTGATGGCCAATCCTAAGTAATCCTGTGCTCTATTTGATTTCCTACCCTAATCTGTGAAGTGACCTTTTGTTGTCCTCAGCATAATGAAACACACAGCTTCCAAGTCTTTCTAGATCTCTCAGGATTAACATCTCTTTTCTGTAAATCTGAATTTCCTATCTATTCAAAAACTTTTATTTACCAGTTACAGTAAACTATTGTAGAAAAAAAGATCTTGCCAAAATTTGACTATTTTAAGTATCCTTCTATTTAAATATTGCAACAGTGTCTAGGGTAAATACTATAATCAAATCTTAAGAGTTTTGCACTTTAGTGCCCCATTCAATTGCAGAATAGCTGTATTATACCGCATGGCCTCTGCTCTTTAATACATGAATAGATTCTCCCAGCCTCTAGATTCCTAGGATATATATATGTAGATATAGATATAGATATATAGATATAGATGAAAGACATGGAATATCATTTTCTTTCATCTCAAAGACTTGGAGAATTATAGGGCCTAGCAGAGGATTAACACCTCTGGTGGAGGTCATACATAAAAATTAAAATATCATTTTTCATTGTGCTGTGCTATACATTGCTACTGAAGCTGCAGAGAAGTTCTCATTACCTCTCTTCAAAAACATTGTAAATTTTGTTAATGCCAGCATCCTGCCATGAATGCCAATTGTATTATTTGATATTTTTTTCACTGTTTTTTTTTCCCTTTCCTAGAACAAAGGGCAAATGAATCAAGGCTTGTCCTTGTCCTACACATTATGACCCCATGTAAGTATCTGTTTTAAGAAAATTTTCTGTTTATTGTAAACAGTAATCTGTAAAATATCTTTTCATCATTATTTTTACAAAAGCCACTCATTCAAAAATGAGTGAGGACATGTACCTACACTGTATTTCACTAAATCTTGAATCAGTGAATAGCAATCTGTCTTGTACCCAAGGACATTGTCTCAGTTGATAATTTGTGCTCAAAGATATTGGAATTGTTAATAAATTTAACTTGACCACAACTTTTATCTACCAATTCTAAGAATGTCAAAGAACTCAAATAAATACACTTGAATCAGTTTAGACTTTGGCTTCAGTCTCTGGTCCATTCAAGACTCCCAAGGGAACAAAAGGTGACCCTCCCACAGCCAGAGCAAGCTGCTGATCTGAGACTTGCAAAGAACATTCCAAATGATATTCTTGCATTTTCCCTTATCATATTAGCAGTCTAAAGGTTTGAGTTAAGATGATGAGGTTCATGTTAAGTCCCACATGACAAATGGAAGCTGAAATTGCTTTTCCTTATCTCAGGCAAGGGAAAAGGGTCTCAATATTACCATAAGAAAAGCTTGGGTTGTTTATTTATTTATTTATTTATTGACAGGCTTAGTGGACAGTGAGAGAGAGAGAGACAGAGAGAAAGGTCTTCCTTTTCCGTTGGTTCACCCCCTAATGGCCGCTGAGGCCAGCGCACCACGCTGACCCAAAGCCAGGAGCCAGGAGCCAGGTGCTTCTCCTGGTCTCCCATGTGGGTGCAGGGCCCAAGGACTTGGGTGATCCTCCACTGCTCTCCTGGGCCACAGCAGAGAGCTGGACTGAAAGAGGAGAAACCGGGACAGAATCCAGTGCTCCAACCAGGACTAGAACCCCCGCAAGTGGAGGATTATCCTATTGAGCTGCAGCGCCTGCCTAGCTTGGATTGTGATCCTTAGAGCTGAATATCAGAGTAGAACTCCACTGATTCACGCATGGGAATGAAAGGAACAATCATTGAGACTACTGACAATTGAACTTTCTTTTGGAGCCAAAGTCAGAGATACAAACATGTGAGAATTAGACCCATATAAATGTTCCTCAGGGATAAACTAAGCCTATAGCATGATGAAATATTGCCCGTGTCCATTGCTCTTCAAAGATCCACCTGGGATGATATGATAGAAAAAACTCAACAGATTGCCATTGGGAGTGACTATATCTTGTCTAGCACTAGAGGTAGATAAAAAAAAAAAAAAAAAAAAACTGAATGAGTAGAGTCCCCCATGACTAGAGGAGCCTCAGATTAGAAATTCATATCAAGAGCAGAGTCTCCAAAGTGTTGTTTAAGACAGATATAAGAATTGCCAAAATGAGAGGGCCAAGTGCAGACCATATATAAACAGAAAATTTATAAATGTTTCATTTCTACCTCTTTCTCTTTCCTGCACTGCTCATCCTCTGTGCATGATTAAACCAAAGATGCTGGGGACAACTTATGGAATGAGAAAGAGTGGGCAAATAGAAGCCACCTAATCTATTCTCTTTTGGGAATCGAAGTCGTCAGAGGATCTATGTTCAAAAGAAATAAGACACAAATTTAAAATTGTAGGTATTTGTATGCTGTTCTAGATTAGACATGATAATTATTGAATTGAGAGTATTTTAGTGAGTAAAAGTAATAAAAATCCTTACAGTTATCTAAAAACAACTAGAAATATTGTGAAACATGCACTAGGTTTCATCCAAGTTGCTAAAAAAGTAACTCAAGATGGATCTCAAGATGGGAATCATTTATATGAAATGGAAGTAAGGTGCTTTTTGAATACTATCATTTCCCCCGCATCTCTTCCATAAAAAACTAACAATCTGCAGTTGAAATGCTTTCTTCTGCAGCAAAATGTCCTGGTTGAGGTCTGCTATCCAACACCACATGGTTAACAAGGGCCCTGCTGGTAGAGTTGACAGATTAGGCAAATAAATAGAGGATTCTAGAAAAAAAATGAATTTGAGAAAAGTGTGGAGTACTGACTTTTAATATATCCCAAATATTGCACTGAATATATCTTCACTAAAAATTATGTTAATCTGTACCCCAAATTTAACCTGTGTCTTTTAATTTTATCTAGCATCCTTAGCAGGATATTTTGTGATACTTGGAGAAAAACAAAGAAGAGATTCCTACTGTAATAAAGGATTCTGAGTACCCAGGGTTCTATGAATTGTTTAGAAAGAGAAAGGGGAATAAGGACAGAAAAATAAATAGAAAGCAGGGAAATCATGAGAAATGCTTCAGGCAGGTTCCATATTCCCAAAATGCAAGAGGTAAATGTGGCATTAACTTAACATTTATTTAGAACAGGTCATCAAAGAAGGAGGTACCTTTCTCTGAAGGGAGGAGAGAACTTTCACTTTGACCATGGCCTTGTCTAAAAATTATCAGAGTCAGTGAACTCAGGGGGCTTCCATAGCCTTGGCAGCTCATGACAAGAGCCTAGGGTGATTTCTGATGCCATAAACAAGAGTGTCAATTTGTTAAGTCAACAACAGGAGTCACTGTGCACTTACTCCTCATGTAGGATCTCTGTCCTTAGTGTGCTGTACATTGTGATTTAATGCTATAACTAGTACTCAAACAGTATTTTTCACTTTATGTTTCTGTGTGGGAGCAAAGTGTTGAAATCTTTACTTAATGTATGCTAAACTGATCTTCTGTATATAGAGAATTGAAAATGAATCTTGATGTGAATGGAAGGGGAGAGGGAAAGGAGAGGGTTGTGGGTGGGAGGGACGTTATGGGGGGGAAGCCATTGTAATCCATAAGCTGTACTTTGGAAATTTATATTCATTAAATAAAAGTTTTAAAAAAATAAATAAATAAATAAATAAAATAAAATGGTAAAGGACTTGGATCACAAAAAAAAAAAAAAATGTGGTAAAGGCCTGAAATCATAAGGAAACTTTGTTCTACATTTTGTTTTAAAAATCATTCTGCGGCTGGCACCGTGGCTCCCTGGGCTAATCCTCCGCTTTGCGGGGCCGGCACACTGGGTTCTAGTCCTGGTCAGGGCGCCGGATTCTCTCCCGGTTGCCCCTCTTCCAGGCCAGCTCTCTGCTGTGGCCAGGGAGTGCAGTGGAGGATGGCCCAAAGGCTTGGGCCCTGCACCCCATGGGAGACCAGGAGAAGCACCTGGCTCCCGGTTTCGGATCAGTGCAGTGCGCCGGCCGCAGCGCGCCGGCCGCAGCGGCCATTGAAGGGTGAACCAACAGTAAAAGGAAGACCTTTCTCTCTGTCTCTCTCTCTCTCACTGTCCACTCTGCCTGTCAAAAATAAAATAAAAAAAAAAATCATTCTGCCCACAGAACTCGTAGAAACAGAGGTTTTGATAGGGCTTTGACAGATGGGTCCTGTCAGTGTTCTGTTTTTCACTGTCTCTCAGCGCCATGCTTACTTTTTCTTGCTTTTCAACAGTGATTTTTGTGTGGCTAAAGTTCAGTTGATTCACTATAAAATCTATTTTATGTGATTCTGAAGGGTCTTATACAGACAACTATTTCCCCAACAGTTTTTAGCTCATTTAAATATTTGTTCCTATGCACATCTCTTTAAACTTATCTATCTTGAACTTTATAAAATCCCAGGCACGCTGCCATCTTGCAAATTACATGTTTCTATTAAATAAGTAAAACTACCAGAAAATAAACTTGCAATCAAAAATGAAATTTAATGCTTAAATCATGTGTTACTTTGATTTATATTCAGGCATATATTTCCTTATCAGTACTCTTGTAAATCAACATTATGGAGACAGGCATCCAAGTATAAGAACAAATGAATATGTATAAACCAATTTGTGTTTGTAAATATGTAGATTGAGTTAGTAAACACCTTAATATCAGTTAGAAATCTGTCCTTGATTATACATAGGAAAGAAGGCAAGCACCAAGGTTTTAGTACATAGCTTAAGAATCTTGATAATATGAGTGGTCCAACTAAAGGTTGCGATGCATACTGATAAGCTGGGTATATTTGTTTATTGCAAATATAAGTGCATGTATGCAGAATATAAGCTCAAAGTCTTTTTTACAACATATTATAAGTTTGGAGTAACTGTTATTTTTACTTAAGAAACTAGCATATTAATGTTATTTAATAACTTTGAGACTATTCATTTAAGAACATTGTCCTTTTTATTATTTCTTATCGCAAATAAAAATCACTGGGATCATCAGGTTAAATGTATTTTCAGTGACAATATTTCAGCTTGTTGATTTTGTTTCATGATACCATGATCTTAGCCAGGTTGTTCTGTGCTGAAAAGGTGTTGTTTTGTGTTGCTTTGCTTTTTTTTTTTTGGATAGGGGAACTGAAGATAGAAAAGATACAAATGAAGCCCACAACAACCTTTCCTACATCATGTTCAGACCCGTCTTTACTAGCCAGGCTCACTGGCATTTTATACTAACCAAACCCAAACTGCTACTTTTGCAAGAGATTTGATTAACTCTAGTTCAATGCCATGGGGAGAGGTGTTTCGTGTAGTGCTAAGTCACCACTTCGGTCACCCCCAACCCATTTCTTAGTGTCTGGGTTCAGATCTTAGCTTTACTATACACTCTGAAGGTAGCTGATAATGGTTTAAGTAGCTAAGTCCGTGCCACCCACTTCACAAACCTGAATCTGGTTCCTGGCTCCAGCCTTCAGCCTGGCTCTGAATGCTGCAGGCATTTGGGAAGTGAAGCACTGAATGGGAGAGCTCATCACTCTCTCACTCATTCTCTCTCTCAAATATAAATAAAATAAATTTGTTAAAAAAATCAATTCTCAGGTCAAGAAACAATCATGAATAAATAAATATATAAATAAATAAATAGACAAATGTCATGGTTCATAATCTCACAAAGATAAATTCTTCCCTCTTCTCAAAGAAACACCAGAAGAGATCTTCTTCCTTGTTTTGAGCTATTTGCTATAAGACAGCAATCGCCTACACTAAATAAAATCAAAGTAAAATAAAGGACTTTATCTTG